CATAATTAGGTAGGGCTGAGCAAGACAGCGGTGGGCTGTAGTGTGGAAGGCCTGATAGCCTGATGCTGCCACGGGGAATCTTCCAACCCTCAGCAGCAAATGCCTCTGTGGCATTTGTTATGTTTTCCCAAGATTTCTGGGTGATCCGCAGCAGGGCAGTCCACAAGGTGTGCTCACAGTCTGGGTGTGATCAGGATATGGGTGCAGTCAAGGCTGCCCAAGTCCTCTTCGCTCTGACCCCTGTGGCAGTCGGGATGCTCTGCGGGGACGGCTGCTCCTTTGTTCCTGTGACACAGACTTGGATGTCAAAGAGAAGTCAGGGAATTTAATTGCAAAGGCATACGAAGGAGAGGAGTGAGAGATAGCCGGTAGGAAATTCTCCTTCACTACATGCTCAGAGAAGGGACTAAATTACTGAAGATACGGTCTGAAGGACTAAAGATAGAGGAGTAGACTTTAAAGGTGGTGACCAAAGACAGAGCAGTAAACTTTAAAGGTGTTAAAGACTCTCTGTTCTCCTTTCTTGCGCTGTCGTCACTTCTCCATCGTGTGAGGCTGATTGCTGTGCTTTTTCCCGTGGCTAGGATGCCCAAAGCAGGTATCACGTGGGCGTCTGCTATGAGAAGGGCCTTGGAGTGCAGCAGAACCTGGCAGAAGCGATGAGACACTACCGACAGGCAGCTGCTGCGGGAAACAGGAGCGCCCGGGACAGGCTGCGAGTGTTAGAAGAGGAGGTGGAAGGTACCATGGGCAGCGGGGCAAGAGGGTTTTTGGGACAGCAGCATGCCTGTAAGTGCAGGGCCCGTATTGCCAGAGGAAGGGTGGTAAAAAGGAGTCATTTTTGCTGAAGGGAAGGAGGGAGCACTTTTCGGTTCTTTCTACTTCTTACAAGCTATCTCCAGTTGAGCTGAGGCAGAGTACGATGTGTCATTAATATCTTGTTTTAATCTACTTTCAGATGTGCAAACAGGGCATCCATTCCCTTCTGGAATAAGAGCCTCTTCCTCCAGCCCCTGTTTCTGGACTCTTAAGCGTGTGTCTGCAGGCCTCCGCACACACACCCACACCCAGCCAGGACAATCTGCCCTCACCCTGCCCCACTCTTGGAGCGCAGACAGGCTCCACGTGATGACGCTCAGCAGTGCAGGATGGAGCCGTGCCCTCGGAAACAGGGCAACACCGCTGGACCTGCGGTGCTTGGAGCCCCACCACTGCTGTTATTAGAGCAGGCGGTAAGTGGAGCAAGCAGGCAGAAGGGAAGGCAGCCCCTCTTAGTCTGTGTGGTGCTGGAAGTGGGCCAGCAGTGAGTGGAAAGAGAAAGCTTTCTGCTAATGGAACAGGAGCCAGTTTTAAATACAAAGGGTTTGAGAATGAACCATGTCGTAGGAGATAGGAGCATGCTTTCTTATGCTCCTACATTTCTGTATAGAGCTGCATACAGACTCCCACCATGCCATGGTGACATGATTTGGGACTATGACTCCAGTAGCCCTGCGCATCTTGCACACGCTTTACAAGTCACCGTAAGGCGATGCTGGCAGCTAAGTCTGTGATGGGCCTGGCCTGCACCCTCTGAGGCAATCTGCTCTCACTTCAGTGCTAGCTGTTCATAAAATCATCATAGAATCATAGAGTGCGTTGGGTTGGAAGGGACCTTAAAGCTCATCCAGTCCAACCCCTCTGCCATGGGCAGGGACACCTCCACCAGCCCAGCTTGCTCAGAGCTCTGTCCAACCTGGCCTTGAACACTTCCAAGGAGGGGGCACCCACAGCTTCCCTGGGCAACCTGTGCCAGTGTCTCACTGCTCTCAGAGTAAAGAATTTCTTCCTAATGTCTAATCTAAATCTACCTTGTTTCACTTTGAAACCATTACCCCTTGTCCTATCACTCAATGTCCTTGTAAAACGTCCCTCTCCAGCTTTCTTGTAGGTCCCCTTCAGGGTACTGGGAGATGCTCCAGTCCCTGATCATCTTTGTGGCCTCCTCTGGACTTGCTCCAACAGCTCGGTGTCCCTTTTGTGTTGCAGGCCCCAGTGGTTCTGCTACCAGCACAATCTGGTGGTATTTCTCTATATTGCCATTGTGGCAGTTTACTCCGCTTCAAACTCTGTAAGCAAGAGAGGGAATTCTGATTAGTAGGGCACAGGTTTTTGTGGGATATGGCTTATTGATCCAGCTGAACTGGTGAGAGGATCAGCTGTCCTCAGCCATCCTGCACCACCGACAGTGCTCCTCGGTCCCCAGTTATTCCTTCAGCTCCGGCAGTGAGCTGCTCCCGTGGGTACACCCCTTTGAGTCACAGTGAGCGAGGTTTGCTTCAAAATTTGTCTTGTACATGTTTGTTGAGCACGCCAGCTCATTTTCACTGAATTGGATGAGGGATGCTCCCAGCGGGCAGCAACCACTGTCAGGAAGACGGCGGCAAGCACTGGTACAATAATTTCCTCCACTGGGGCAGCTGAATCCGGAAAAAGACATTTGTCCACACCAGTTTAAACTGGTTCAAGGGCATCTGTACAAACTGTCCAGCTTCCTGTAGCCACAGTGCTCTGGTGCCTTGCGTAGGTCAGGCTCTGAAAAACAAAGGCAATGGCCCCATCCTGAACTTGCTGTGGTCTCCATTCAGCAAGGGAGGGGCGCAGCCAGAGCTCAACACGTCTGATTGTTCTCCTCTCGTCTCTCTTTCTGCTCAGACCATTTCTTAGACCATTTCCTTTATCAAGCAGGATACAATTAGCAGGAAATTCCTCGGGTGGATTTCCTATTCTGTGATAATCCACGGCATGCTTACGCATTGGTCAGGACAGGACGGGGGGTAGGGGTTGGGGGGACTGAAAGCAGTTTGCAGAACCAGGAAATTGAACCGAGAGAGGAATTTGTCTCTATTTTAATCTTCTTCTTATGATGTATTTTTGTGTAAAGTTTGTCCTTTGACAGACACATCAAAGTAACTTCCCAGAGGAAGATGTGAGGTTGTGCCGTGTTTGTCCTCTGTGTGTGTTCCCAAGGTGCAGAGGAATCCTGTAGGGCTGCATCTCCCCGCAGTCGCAGATATGCCTCCCTCGTGGTTTGCACAGCTGCATCTCAGTTAGAATTTGGCTCGCTGACATTGTTTTGGTGCAAGAGCCTGTTTTGTTTGTGAAACAAAACAGCAAGACATTTCTATTAGCACCACGGCAGTGTGAGCAGGCTGGGGCAAACCCATCACTGCAGTTTATTGCCAGAGATGGGGTCACTGTAAAGCACTTTGGAGACTCCAAATACAGCAGTGCATATTTTGAATATTAAGAGCCTACCTGGGGAAATCTTACTCTGTTGCTTTTGCCATTTGGTTCCAGGAGCAGCAGAAAGGGATAACCTTCTCATTTACTCTGCTTTAAATTGAAGTGTGATTGCTGCTGCTGTGGCTCTTGTCTCTAGACACTAAAAGCAGGGCACTATCGCCTCTAGGTGCATGGAAAAGGAACATGGGTCAGACACCCTTGAGATGCTCCAGGACCGTGGCTGCTGGGTTGTGCTACCTGTCCTTTCTCAATAGTAAAGATGAAAGCAAAAAACATCACCCAAAGACACCTGACAGCAGCCCCACCATGAGCAAATCAGCTTTGGAGAAACCCATGTGGTGAATTGCCATATCTGTGGAGAAGTCAGGGCAGTATTTGTAACACAGAGATGGTGAAGGAAAGCAAGCGGTGTGTGTCGAGCACTGCAGGCCTTGCAGTGTAGTAGAGGGGAGCCTGGTGGTCTCTTTTGCAACCCCTCGGCACGCAGCGGTGCTGTGCACTGCTGACAGTGCAGGTGATGGCTCACCCTCATCCACACAGCACCACTCTCATCTGTGCAGCCGCTTTGCCAGCATGCCCCAAATTCCTTCTGGTGTTTTGTATCATGGTTGCAAGGCACAGGCTGTGGTACAGAAGAGAGCCCCGTGTCTGCACGATCCCAAAGCACCTACCTGCCATCCACGCACCGCTGCGTAAGCCTACAAACACACTCCAGATGGTTATGCCACCGCTGTCTTCCCATTCTCTGTGAGTGCAAATCCCCATGGTTAACACCACCTGTGGGCTTCTTCCTCTGTTAATAATATCTGTAGCTTAGTTTTCCTACACATGCCATTATCCTAAAACTGTCTCATAGCTCACGTACGTACAGATCAAAGTGAAAACCTGTAATATGGTTGATGCTCGTGATTGAATATTTCAAAGCGGTGTTTTCACGCTTCCCTTTTCCCAGGTTACCTTTGGCAGACTCCAGCCATCTGTTGTCTGCTTCCGGGCAACGGCTGCGCTCCAAAATCCAATGGAGAAGGAAACTGTGGGCACCTAGCGCAGCCACAGCAGAGGTGCCAGAGCAGAAGTGCTGATTTTGGGCCGTTTTACAAAATGCCGAAGTGTTCACAGTGGCAGAACCACACAAGCTGAAAGGATCAGTGGGAGACAACAGGCAGATCTCCCTTTCTGAGTTCCCATTCAGGCTTTCTGCACATAGATCATTATGTCAGCTGCAGTGCATCTCATTCCAGAGATGGTAGTGTTAGAAAAAACCCAATTTTATTTAAATAAGAACCGAGATCCTGCAGCCCAGCTCTGCAGCATGTTGCAAAGCCCAAGACTGCAGTATTTTCTCGTCCGTGGTGCAGAGTCTATAATCACATGGGTGTAGCTGGCTGTGTTGTGCTTGTGGTTAATCTAACGAACCCCCCTCCAAATTGGCCTATTCTGAGAGGGAAGGACCCTCCTGCTGTTGTGTGACTTGAGTGTGATGAAAAAAGTGAAGGATGACAGTGGAAGAAAGCTGGGAAGGCACAAACAGGCAGGTAGAAGGGACCTAAACAAGGTGAAATCAGTCATGGAGAAATGTGATGGGGTGAGGCAGCCAGCTGTGGTCAGTCTGGCTGTGGGTGATACAGTGACCCTGTTAGAGCACACGTGTGCACCCCCAATGCAGAAAGCAGCTCTCTCTGACTCTTCTCTCTGTATCACAGCCGCCAAGCTGCCTACAGGACCGGAGCGCCGTCTTCCAGCCCGAGGCTCTTCCCCCGTGCCGACAGCTGCCGCAGAAGCCCCGCGCCTGTTTCGTTGTGGACTTGGACCTTCTGGGACAAAATCATCTCGAAGAGGGTGCTCATTTCTGAGAGGAAAGTGCTGGCCAGTCTCGTCCCAGCAGCGTTCGAGTCAGCCCCAGCACCTTTGCCGAAGGTCTCGAAGGTCCTTGGTTTCTCCTGCCTCGCAGCTTCCTCGTCCTGTGGTGAATGCAGGGAGCTGGGGGAGAAGACGTTGTCCTTGTAGCTGCTGGTGAGCGGCAAGGAGAGCCGCGCCACCCACGCCGGGTCGGCGGCCGTCAGCCTCTTGAGGGCCAGCTCTGCAGGGAGTGGGAACAAGAACTGGTGGTGAGATGTGGAGCAGATGAGACCACGGGAGAAAAGAGTTAAAAAAAAGAAGAAAAAATAATCCAGAAATCAGGAGACTTCTTGAAATCACCTGTGAGACAACTGACTGTAAGCAGGTCTAGGGATAAGTCACCAGCAGCATCATTCAAACTAGCATCTTAAAAAAAAAAACCATCTAGAACTGGTTTAAAACTCCTGTGTTTTTTGTTTGTTTTGAATGTAATGGCTATTAGAATCACCTTGCTTTCTCATTTGTTGCAGCCCCAAATGGCACTTCACTAAATTGTTACCAAAGCCAAAGAAAGTGAGGGTTTAGGACTGGCTAAAGGGGAGATGACAACGGAAAGCTCCCAGGGGGAAAGTATTGGACAGAAAAAAAGAGGTCTTTAGTGGGCTTCCCTTGAGGGTTACTCCAGAGTGGGAAGTTGCTGCTAAGCAGGCATATTGAGACCAAAAATAAATGGGTTATTGTGAAAACAATAACAACAGAGGTAGAATGAAATTCCGGATTAGAAAACGCACAGCTGGATGGTTGAGGACCAGTAACAAAAAATTGAGCTATAAAGTAGTTGTTTGTCAATTGGAAACAGCTGAGGAGCAGTGGGAACCTGGTGTGGGTGGTGGCTGCGGGCTCGTTAATGTCCCAGTAATGTGATTCTGCCCCAAAACGAGCAAATGAAGTCACACGTGTGTTGGTCAAGGTATTCCCTGTTGGCGTAAAGACACATCCGCGGTGCTGTTACTGGGTCCTGCGAGACCTGATTAGGAGGATTACATACAAATCTGATTATCCATCCGTAGGAAAGAGAAACTGGAATGACAAAAGCGCAGGGAAAACTCCTGAGACAAAAGCAGAGCGAGCCCAGGCTCAGGTGATGGAGACCCCGAGAGGCAGGGGCTGCTCAGCCGAAGGAAGCAAACGCTCACCGGGGATCTAACTGCAACCTGTCGTTATTTTGATGAGATAAGAGCCGACAAAGGAAATCTTTATGCTTAAAATAGTGTTGGCAAAAGAAGAAGTGATTATAACTGAAGTGATTATAACTGTCCATGAATAAACATATACTGGAAATGAAAGGAAGGACCGCATAGCAGGGTGAGCCTGGAATAGCTTCCTCATCAGACGGCAGGGAAGGAAACGGGGCTTCTTGTTTTGAAGGGAGAGCTCTGCAGCTGATAAACAAGACTCCGTGCTGTGGTGCACAGGCGCTGCCCCCCAGCCCCGCGTTGCTGCGTTCCCAAAGCGTAACCCAGACCCCCTGGGAGGTTCGAAGCGGCCACCGCGTTTGTGAAACACTCTGGGTTGGTGAGCAGCAAACCAAATAACGGGTGTCCGGTACCAGGACACCACAACAGTCCTGGTCAGGGGCAAGAGCCGGTGACATTGCAATAATGACACAGCTCTGGCTTATAAAGTGACCTGTGAGGGGAGGGTCCTCATGCACTTATGCAGCTTCCAGAAGATAATCAATGCCCTGCCGCAGCCTGGACACGGGGTCACCGCACAGTGGCTAGTCCCTGACTGAGACAAGTCTCCTTCCTCGGGTCAATAAAAAGGCCTTTTTCTCCGTGTCCTGGGTGAGGGCTGGGATTCAAACCCAGAAGGAGAGAAGGGCAGATGCATCACTTGGATTTTGTTTCAGCCAAAGCCCCAAAGTCATTTTGTGTTGCTTAACATCCAGGATTTCTTTCTGCGATCTCAGTATTTCCCTTCAGTCGCAGTGACTGTTCCTTAAGACATCCCCCGACCATGCTAAAATCCCTTTTTTTAAATTCTCTAAAACATCCACGGTTCTCTCCTCCTCAGCCTGCAAGAAGCCACTGCGCTCCCTGAATGTTTTGATGGTTCAGCTGTGGAGCAGCACACACACACACACACACACACACACTGAGAGCCAAGACTCAGGGGGCTGATGGTCTTCATTTGACCAACCACTCTTTACTGCCTTACTCTAATGGTGTTTCGGGGGCAGGGGTTGTTTTTATAATCAATAAAGTTCTATCCTTCATTTACTGCTGCGAGCTCTGTTTCACTGGTGGGGAAGAGGTGTTAATAGAGGGTGCTGAGAGTTCATCCTGCGCTCAGTGCTTATGGTGCAGGCACCCACATCACTGGTGAGGATGGGCTTGTGCAGTTCACCCCCCACCTTGAAGAGCACAAAAGCCCGGACGGCTTCCGCAGCCGCTGTGATACCCCTGAGCACAAGCACAGCTTCCTTCCTCCCTCTCTCAGGATGCAAGTCCACGTCTCTGTTTGTGTTTGGGAGAGGAGGAAGGAGCCCAGCAGCTCCGTTGCCTTTTCAGGAAGGTCTGGACTCATGGTTAAGGTTGTTTTTCACCGCTGAAGCAGGGCGGCCTCTTTTGTCAGCACACACCACTGGTGTTCACTGGGACAATTTGGCAAAAGGGTTTGGGGGTTTTTCTATCAAATCCAAGGTGCACAAGAGGTGGCACTCCATGAAGATGCCTCGCCATGGCATGGACTTTCTAGGATGCTACCTGTGCAGGCAGAACAGGATCCAGACAGATCCTCTGAGTGTGTCCACCAGTCCCTTTACTGGGACCAGTCCATGTCAGTGCACCCATGGGATGGAGCTGGGCAGCATCCTCACCCCCTTGGCTGCAGGACCATTAAATCTGAGGAAGTTTCTAGCTCTATTTTCACCCAGCCTTTCCTTCATTTGCTCCTCACTCAAATAAAAGGGCAGGAAGGCAAACGGAGAGGAGCAGCGTGGTTCTCCCTCCAAGCAAGGGTACAGACAAAGCCCAACTCTGGAGTTAAACCGACCACAGCAGCAAACCTCAATGAGTTCCTCCCGCTGTGGAGGAGCGCAGGGGCTCCCAGATGAAATTTCTGCTCCAGGACGTGAGTCAGCCCGACTCTTTCAAATTGAAATGCCAGTAGAAGAGATTTTTTAGAACAAATCAATAAAAGGAACATGCAGAAAATGTCAGGCCCAGATGGTATTCACCCTGGAGTGCGAGAGGAACTCAGATATGAAATTGCTTGGTTTATTAACTGCTGTTCGTTAACTACTGCTTCAAATGAATACGGTATCAGAGGAAGGGAAGGTAGAAATTGTGACAGGGGTTTTTAAGCGCAGGAAGGTGGATGTGGTGCAGGCGGATTCACAGAAGTGGCTGTTGCGGGGCTCGGCGGATAGCCGGGTACCTGCTATTCAGACAAGCACGGACGTGACATTTGCAAGGTGGGGAACTGCATTTTGCAAATCCGTTGGCACCTCTGCAAGAGGCAGCTGAAGAACGCTGGCTGACAGAGGACGCCTGAGCTTGCAGAGGAGCACGAGCTCCGTACCCGCTGTCCCACGCATCTGCCACTCTCTGAGCTCGAGATGAGATGTCCCCTGGCTTGCTGCAGACCACCCAGATTCCCCTTCTGGATGGGGTTAGTGTGTTAGTTGTGTTAACAGCCCCACACCAGCCCCATTAAGCTCCCAGTAGCGAGGCCACCTCACCTGCCTGCGGCTCCAGGAGCGTCTCCAGCTCCTCTCCCACCAGCTGCTGCATGGACAGCTCGAACCCGCTCTCCGAATCGCGGTCCTCTGCCTCACTCTCTCCGTGCCCGCTGTCCTTCGTGCTCAGGCAGTCGGTGTCCAGCCCCGCAGCCCTGCGAGGGGGACAAAACCCCCCAATCACACATCAACCCTCAGTGCCACCCTGCCCTGCTGATTACTTTGAGGGTGCTTCCTTCATCCTCCATCAAATGACCCAGAGGTGGGGTATGGGCATCCTCCACAGAAACAAAAGCAAAATCATTTTAGTCACAGAATCACAGAATCCCAGCACGTTAGGGATTGGAAGGGACCTCAAGAGTTCATCCAGTCCAATCCCCCTGCCGGAGCAGGAACACCCAGATGAGGTTACACAGGAAGGCGTCCAGGCGGGGTTTGAATGTCTGCAGAGAAGGAGGCTCCACAACCTCTCTGGGCAGCCTGGTCCAGTGCTCTGTCACCCTCACTGAGAAGAAGTTTCTTCTCCAATTGAAGTGGAACCTCCTGTGTTCCAGCTTGTGCCCATTACCTCTTGTCCTATCATTGTTTGTCACCGAGAAGAGCCTGGCTCCATCCTCGTGACACTCACCCTTTAAATATTTATAAACATGAATGAGGTCTCCCCTCAGTCTCCTCTTCTGCAAACTAAAGAGCCCCAGCTCCCTCAGCCGCTCCTCGTAAGGGAGATGCTCCACTCCCTTGATCATCTTTGTAGCCCTACGCTGGACTCTCTCCAGCAGTTCCCTGTCCTTCTTGAACTGAGGGGCCCAGAACTGGATGCAATGTTCCAGATGTGGTCTCACCATAGTCCTCAGTAGTTAATGAATTTTGTGGGTTTGGTGTTTTTAAAAAATGCATGAATAAAATCACTGGGATCAGGAGTGCCATGGGCCCTGTGGAAACTGGGCCTCATCTGGGTGCTGGGTTACACATGGGGCTGCTCCACATTTCTTGCCCAAGAGGGTTCTTGTCCTGCAGGGAAATCCTGAGCAAGCGGGGAGCTGGTCCCTCATCCCATGAATTCGGAGGAGGTGCCCATGTGCAGGAGCAGATGAGGAGCATCGGAGCCCAGCCCTGCCCCTGCAGCTCTCCCTCCCTCTCCATCCTCAGCAGATGGAGATGATGATGAGAAAGGGAGACAAAGTTGTGTCTGCCCATGGCCTGGGCAGGTGGGGACAGGGGGGACATGGCCAGCCAGTGATGAAGCCCTGGCATCCTCAGGAGCTTTCACCCAGAGATGTCAACACTGCAAGCTAATGGGAATGCCATAAAGTTTGGAAACATCTTCAGCACAGAGCTGGGATATCTCAGTCCTTCCCATCCCTGTGAGCAGCATCTCTGTCACTGGCCTGGGGACAGAAGCTTCAGACTCATGTCGACAGGCAGCAGCATCTCCAGGAAAGGACCCAGAGCCATAGGAAAACTCATCCTCGTGCTGCCGCCACCAAAGCTGGGACCTTCTGTGCTCATGGGAGCACCTTTCCATTGCACTTGAACACATCGGTGTCCTCCTAGCAAGGACCAGGGATGAAGTTTTGCCTCGTGTGTCTCTGGGGGCTCTTGGGGCCAGTGGGGCTGGAGCAGAGGCAGCAGAGGCACAGGAGCATGGGGAAGGGGAGGGCTGAGGGCCAGCCTTACCTGCTGCCGTTCTTGGCCGTGTACTTGTTTCCCCTGTGGTTTGTTTTGGGCTGGAACTGGCCCTGGTGCAGCAGGGAGAGCAGCTGGGAGATTTGCTGTAAGGCAGGAAAAGCCTGTTGAGCCCCCGGCGGTGGCCACTCAAGCTGCTTCCTGCCAGGACGTCCCCCCCAAACTCCCCCCCCAGCCTTTTTATAGCATTTCCTCCTCCCGCAGATGGTTCAGCATCCCCACACAGGGGAGGAAACAAGCAGCGGGGAAGCCCACCTGGCCCCTGTGCCACCTCAGCCCCCACACTCCCTTGGGGACATGAGCAGGGGGTTGTCCCCTTCCCTGTACCCCATTCTCCACCTCAGCTCCCAAGGCATCCTGGGGGATGCGGGGAGGCCCTGCCCATGTTTGGGTGGCTGTTCATGCCACCTAAGCCCTGCTGCTGGGAGCCTCTGCCCAGGAATGGTAGAAGAGACCAACCAAAGACCAGCAGGTCACACGTTCCCACCACCTTGGGGTGTGCAAGACCTGGGCAAGGAAGGATTTGGGGGCAGGTCCTACCTGCACTGGGGGCGACTCCATGGCGAGCTCCCCGGTGGGGCTCTGCTCTGCCAGGGCCACGAGCGACAGCCGGACCAGGCTCCTGAGGATGTGCTGGTGGGGCTGGGGCTGCTCAGGACCCACAGTGTCCACAGGCTGGTGGGGTGGCAGGGGAAGCTCTCCCAGGGGACCCTGCGGGGGCTTCACCAAGCTCTTGCAGTGCGGTGGTGCATCCGGGGGACTCACAGTTTCTTTCACCAAATTTTTTGGCCTATGGGGCTGACAGGGCCGGCGCTGCAGGATGGGCAGGTTGAAGGTCCCCTGCTGCTCATCCAAGTCTTTTTGGGTCCTCTGATTTCTCAGGGTCCTGTAGAGAGTAGGAGTGAGATGGAGGGGAGCCTGTGGTGACCCCACCGGCACAGGGGGAGGCAGATCCTCCTGGCAGGGCTGGGGGGGCTCAGCGTCCCGGGGCCGGCCCCGGAGCAGCGGGATGAGGTGGATGTCCGTCTTCTGGATCTGCCGGTGCGGCTTCTTGAGCTGCTGCTGCCTGCGGGCATCCTCTGCCTCCCTGCAGTTGTAGGCCATGCCGTCCTTCTTCTCCTTCTTACGCAGGGACAGGGTTAAAGCCAAAAGGAGAAGGCATCCGCCCAGGAGAGCTGCCATGCAGATAACAACCACCACGGATGGGTTTAGCCACCTGGGATCCTGGGCTGAGATTTTGGAGAACGCCCCATGATTCCGGAAAACCAAGCGGAGCTGGGCCAGGGTGTGCAGGGGGGTGTCCCCCTCGTCGCTCACCCGGACCAGCAGCTCCCGCTCGCTGCCGGCCCGGCTGCTGGGCCTTCTGCGGT